GATGGTGACACAGCAACTCTTTGCGTGGCTCTTGGGACATCACTGATGTTTTGAAAACAGTTTTTTTTAAGACTTGAGTTCTGACTCATTTAATAAAAACAATCTGTATTATGAACTATGGCAGACATATAAAAAAGGTATATAATTCATTCTTTTCATACCTTTCTGCAGCTGCAGGTAGAAGCGATCTAATCTGTGTGTTCACTGAACTCAAGCACGTGGTGCCTCTTTTGTGGGTCTCTTGGCTGGCAGACTCTGAACCACTTTTGGAGGTGGGAGAGGCTACTTAAAGTAGGTGCGGGTTCACAGTCCATGGAAACGGCCTGGATACACTCAGCACTGCAGGGGAGATCACACACGTTCTCCGTCAGTCGTTAGGACTGAGGCCCGTGGCCTACTCAGTCAACTACAAGGAAAGAGTGATTCAGCCAGGCCTGGGACCTGATGGATAGGGATAAGAGGCAGTCTCTTCCTGATCGTTTCTTTTCTATAAAACTTAATGGGATTTATTTTTTTTAAGGTTTTTTATTTATTTGAGAGAGAGAGAGAGAATGAGAGATAGAAAGCACGAGAGGGAAGAGGGTCAGAGGGAGAAGCAGACTCCCTGCTGAGCAGGGAGCCCGATGTGGGACTCGATCCCGGGACTCCAGGATCATGACCTGAGCTGAAGGCAGTCGCTTAACAAACTGAGCCACCCAGGCGCCCTCTTTTCTATAAAACTTAAAGAAGTGCTCATAAATACTACAAGGCTTGTGATTGGTTGGCAAAGAAAAATCTTCCCACTGGCCTCTAGTCTATGGGTTTATGGAAATGAAAAAAAATAATGTAACTCAAAATCTGAGTCATTATAGTATTGGCATCCTCATTTAATGTCTTAATCTTTCAGAGACTGGAGTATATCTGCATGTTAGGACAAATGCAGAGTCATAGCCAAATGAGCTTGTGGTGAGAATTTCTGCTTACTGTGAGTGGATGAATTCTCTTCTTTCTGAGGGTGGATGCAGCCCTGTCACTAGTTAGTGAATATGCAGACCTAACCAGTTGAGACTGGTGTCCAGGCCAGAGTGGGATTTCCAAGGGGATAGGGGAGTGAGGGTAAAGAAGATGCCTACATGACTAACACAAGGTGACATGAAGCCAGAGAACTTTGAGAACTTTTCAGCTGGAGATAAAGGAGGACTCAAGAGGGCTAGATAGCCACCAGAGAAGATCAGGAAGCCGGCTCAAGCTAGAAGAAACCAATGATCTCAAACATACCTGACTCTAGGGCCATCCTAAACTTGTATCACTTTAGCTTAAATATCTTTATCCAGTGTCTTGTTTCAGCTCATACCATACATGCCCAGGCCCACCCTGCTTCACCTATACTAACCTTTTTTCTGTTTCTCTAACTTGCCAAACCCATTCCTATCTTAGGGCCTTTTGCACATGTGACTCTGTCCACCTAGAATGTCTCCCCTGCCTGATCCCATATTTTCATGATTGGGTTATGTGTAGTCGGGTTTCAGTCAAATGTCGTTTCTTTGTGTACCCCGTCTGGAGCAAGCCTCAGCCAGTCACTCTCTGTTACATTATCCTGTTTCGTTGTCTTTACAGCACACATCACTCTCTGAAATCATCTTGTTTTTTACTGGTATATTTAGCGTCTTTTTGCTCCTACTGGAATGTAAGCACTATGAGAGCAGGAGCTTTTTCTGTTTAATTGGTTATTACATCTCTACTGCTTAGAATAGGACCAGGCTCATAGCCAGGGTTCAGTAAATGCCTGTCCAATGAGTGAATGAATGAAGGGATGCATGAAGTCAGATACAATTGAAGAAAGATGGCCAAGACTTATATATCAGCCAGAACATCTGTAATTAAATGGTGGTTACTAACCTGAGAATGAGGAGTCTATGCTCTGGTATATGTGCATTTCTGACTTTTGTGGGTGTTTTAAGAACCTGACACTGACAAGGGCTTAATAAATATTAGATTTTAATAAAAGATCATTTTTACAAATTCCACTCTTGCTTCAGCTAAACTAAATTAGTCCTTTGTAGGTTAGATTATACAGGGTCAGAGGGTAAGGCAAGCCTTGGAGTGACAGGTCATACCCACAGGAAAGCTGAGAGATCCTCATTTGAGTTAAAAGTTATTGAATTTAATGAATGAAAATAAAAAGTAAACCTTGACTTCTTATGAAGGTTAAAATAAAAATCAGCATGTATATTAAGTTCAAATAGTTATTTTTTAAACTATTTTAATAGTTTTATAACTCAGCCAAAAAAAAAGTTCTTTTAATTCTCTTGGGAACATCCTAGCTGACGTGTTAGAGTGGAATTCATTTACAGGAGAGCCAGGGTCTGGTATGGGGGCTTTGACTCAGGGGAGAGGAGCTGCCACAAGGGCAGGGTTAGAACATGACGTTCCTTGACTGTAGCAGAGACCAAGGGCTGGTAGCTGGAGTGCAGGGCAGCGGTGGCCCATGGAGCAATGGCCTGAGCTTTCTGGGCTTCCATCTCCTCCCTGGAAACTGAGGAGGCTGAAGTGCACAGCGAGGTTGAAATCAATAACCCCATTCCTGTCTTTCTTAGGTCCACTCCCTTACACTGAATCCATGTATACGCTATGGCTGTCAGAAGCTATTTGTTCATGTACTTTATATTTTTGAAAGAGACTTGTGATCTGGATCAAATTTAGGCCATCCCCTTCTTTCACCATCTCCCGTACCACAGTCACAAATACCAGCTTTTTCGCAGCCTCTTTTATTTCTATGCCATTTATCTAAGACTTTTTTCTTCCCTTGGCTGATGGCACTGCATGTATGCTTGGGAGAGCCTTTAGTCAGCAGGTGATGCCTGGGAGCGTGGGACTCCTGCAGCTGCCTGTGAGGCCTCTTGGGATACACTTCATGAGCATGTATCCAGCCTGTTGCTTCGGTGATCTGCTGGAAGTGGTCAGCCATGGACATGGAAAGATGATACTCTGAGGAAAGCAAGCTAAGTTTTGACTTTTCTGCTTGTTGAGGCAATATTTAACCTGAAGGAAAAGAAGACTTCAGCCCAAGAGTCCATGGCAGGCATTTTTAAAGTTTTTGTGTGTGTGGGTTTTTTTTTAAAGATTTTATTTATTTATTTGAGAGAGAGAGAATGAGAGAGAGCACGAGAGGGAAGAGGGTCAGAGAGAGAAGCAGACTCCCTGCTGAGCAGGGAGCCTGATGCAGGACTCGATCCCGGGACTCCAGGATCATGACCTGAGCTGAAGGCAGTCGCTTAACCAACTGAGCCTGCCAGGCGCCCCCATGGCAGGCATTTTTAAAAAATATAAATCTTGCTAAATGTAAAAGAATTAAGCCAGATTGCTCTCAATTATATATTTTTAAAAATGTTACTGTATTGACAGACAACTTTTTAATATGCTATGTATCAGCAGTACTGTCCCTCCTATATTCAATGCTTATAGTACATTGTTCACATATTTTAGTTGTTGGAGCATAATCTCAACACTTGACATTATAAAGCTTTATAGTTTGTAAGTTTGCTTCTCTGAAATAGGGATCTTCATAAGAGATAGGCCTTGTTGAGAAAGAAGCTGTGTATTTTGCCTTTCCTTTTCTCTGCCCTGCATTTATTGTTCTTTTATCAGTTGAAACAGTATAGTTATATAAGAAAATACAAAGAAGCACAAAGAAGAATATTTTTAAAAATCATTCTTAACTGCACCATCAGAAGATAATCCTCATATGAACTTCAGTGATCATACTATACATACTATTTTATAAGCTGATTTTTCTTTATGTAGAATATGCACAATATGTTTTCATTTAATGAAATGTCCTTCTAAACATGATTTTTAGTAACTACATGATACTTCATCCTATAGATGTCCATAGCACAGCCCTCTATTGTGGGAGGCAGTCCAGACAAGGAAGAGAATAGGGTCTGAAGCAGACGTCCTATCTTTTACCAGCTGTGACGATGGCCAAGTTATGTACTCACCCCATTCCTCAGTCTCCTCACCCGTAAAATGAGGATAACAATAGTACTGGCAACATATCGATTCCTGTGAAGATTAAGTTATGACACATCGTACTTAAAACACTTAAGAGTGCTTATAATAATGCTCTAAATAGATAGTCTTACTAAAAGCATTATTACTCTATTATTCTATTGTATCATTGTATTATTCTAATAGAATCATTGCCTGGCACGTGGTAAGTAGTCAGTAAACATTATTATTACCTATATTGTATTCAGCTTTTTGATGAGATAATACTGTGAGGAATATCTTCGAAGAAAAAAGACTTTTGCTCTCTCTCTTCTTATTTCTCTGAGATAAATTTTTAGAAGTAGAATTGCATCTTTGATAGCAGGAGGGGAAGAATGAAGAGGGGGAAATTGGAGGGGGAGACGAACCGTTAGAGACTGTGGACTCTGAGAAACAAACTGAGGGTTCTAGAGGGGAGGGGGTGGGGGGATGGGTTAGCCTGGTGATGGGTATTAAAGAGGGCACATTCTGTGTGGAGTACTGGGTGTTATGCACAAACAATGAATCATGGAACACTACATCAAAAACTAATGATGTAATGTATGGTGATTAACATAACAATTAAAAATTTAAAAAAAAAAGAATTACATCTTTGATACTTACTGCTAAATAACCCACTGTGGAGGTTGGCTTGAGCTTTCTGCTCTCTCCAGCACAGTAAGAGTGATGTTGTTCCTGGAAGTGCTCCATGGAGGAAATGGCAACTGCCCATGTGAGGATTTTTGCAGTTCTCCAGAATCACTGACTATTGAGCAATTGGGATTTATTCAATTTCCTCCTCCTTTTCAATGCTTGTATGGTCTTCAGGCAAAGATATGAAAAGTTTAAGAACACATTTATTTTTGTGTGTGCTTATTAGTGTCTTAGTCTGAAGCTTGCTTGGGAAGATATTTGTATCGATATGAAAATTTGCCTTGTCTACATTGTTAGGACGGTTTCCCCCATTGAAACTAATACTTTTTATTTTTAAGAAAAAAGCAACAAGCCTTGAGAGCAGTCAGCCTTCCAGAACCCATGCTGGTGGAACAGCCCCGGCCACCAAGGTCAGTCATTTCTTGAACATTTCTTGAAAAGACTCCTAGTCTTCAGGTTGATAAGTTTTGAACAAAGTATCATTTCTGTGCTGGGGCGGGGGGGAGGGGGGAATGTAATTTCTTAATAATGATTTGAATGATTTAAAACCCAGTAAAACCATTTATGCTTTAATTCTTTTTGGCATATAATAAGTGTCCAATCAATATTATTATCATAATATCTATAAATAATATTGGACTTTGACACACACTGTGAGTAGAAATATAGTGCTCTCACCTCTTCAGAAAATAATTCAGATTCTCTTCATGTGCATTAGCCACACTAGGCTCTCTGCTAAATGCTCTATGTAATTATCTTATGTAATCTCCTTACAGTGTTATAATTATTATTCCTTTATACCTGAGGAAACCAGGGCTCAGGGAGGTTAAGCATCCTTGACAAGATCACAAAGCCAGGAGGATGGAGGTAGGGTTCGAACCCAGGTTTCTTGTTCATACAGGGTCCTCGATACTGCTGGACCTCAGAAGCTCTAATTGAGCATTCTTTGGTAATATAGCACTGAAGAGCTTTGCAACTTATAAAAATCACTGAAACAACATATTTCGAAACAAAAAACAACAATTTTAGCTAATAGGTTTTCAACATTTAAAAATAGTTATGTTCAGCCCATCTCAACTTGTGGACTTTCAGTATGTCTGAGATCAGCAAAAACCTTAACTTATTTCAGGACGGTCTATACAACTATCTTAAATAAGCATTTTTCCTTTAAAACTTGTGGCTTTCCTATGGAAGTCTCATATAGGTTACTTACTTGGTTAAGAGTTCATATTTTAGTGCTTCTTGGAGCCCCAGCTGCTCTACAGGCCCCTAAAAGGTGCCCAAACCAAAATCCAGCTGAGAAATGAGAAGAAGTTGGCTAGAGTTGACCAGATTTGGGGGTATGACAGCATCAGTGCTCAGTGTGGGTAAGAGGTTTCTGCATAGCCAAACAAACCCGACTTACCTCTTTGCCACTTATTACTAGCAAGTTTACCTAGCCCCACTGAGCCTCAGTTTCCTCATCTGTAAAATGGGGATAAGACTACTCTTGACAGATCTGCCAAGAGGCTTAAATAAAATAAAAATAGAATATGTAAAACTCTAAGCCCTCAGCCTGGCATTTAGTAGGTGCTGGGAAAATGTGTCTCTGCTGTGACTGTTCTTATTAGTCTCATACTCTATTGTTTGAATGTCTGGAACTAACAAAGATTTTTCAAATATGTCCTGTCTTAACGTACTTTTATTTAACTTATGCTTAAATTCCACCTCTAAAAATGAGAAGTCTCATTAGAAAACCCTACCCTATGAGATTTAGTGGATTATCAGCAGGTAATTTCCAAATTTTAGAATTATCTAAACTCTTGGGCAGGGTGGTGGTTAGTACATTGTAGAAAATCACACCCAGTTTTCTCTTGGAAGTTAGCCATAGGAAGCAGTCCCTTTTCCATCTTTTTTTTTTTTTTTTTTTTACGCACAAAGTTATCATCCAATCATTCTGAGCGTATAAAGAATTTTGACATCTCCCCCAAACCCTGCTCTGCCTCAGGAAGCTGAGGGAGGGTGGCATAGCTGGGAGGTGGAGACATTTTAGCCACATGTTTAGTGTTTATTTAATGTCAAACTTGACATTCTTTCCTTAGCTTCTAAATCATTGTCATCTCCCTTCCTACATTATTCTCTCTCCTGTTGTAATTTCTCACTATAGATTCCTGACTTGCTTTGCTTCACCAGTTTCCTGAATATTAGTTTTCCAGAGTTTTATTCTTCACTCTTTTCTTTCTCATATCTTTAACATTTATAGAGTATTGGAAGAAAAAATTATATATGTATGTATATATTGTACTTGCTTATTTCTTCTTTTGATGCCTGATTGAAAGGGCTTTAACTCAGCATCATGATCACTGTAAAGATTTTATTTATATATTTGAGAGAGAGAGAGAGAGAGAGAATGACAGGGAGGAGGAGCAGAGAGGGAGAGAGGGAGAGAGAGAGAGAATCTAAAGCAGACTCCCCACTGAGTATGGAGCCTGACTCAAGGCTCATGACCTGAGCCTAAATCAAGAGTTGGACACTTAACCAACTGAGCCATCCAGGTGCCCCAGCATGATCATCACTTTAAAGAAAAGGTCATTCCCATGCATCATTTAGAAAAGCTGGGGGTAATAGCATTTGTGATCACTTGAAGCCTTTTATTATACAATTAATTATTATAACACACACAGGCAACCTCATATTACCCTGGCACATGACATGACAAAATAGTAGATATAATTGGCAGTGAGAATTAGTCTTGGTTTTCTTGATTCTTGACACATCGAACTTAAAAGGTACAATAAATGATAATTTTACCATTATAAAGAAAACTTTACAGTTTGAAAAGTTAAATATTTTATTTGAAGTTATGCATGAGCTGTGTGATATAGAATGGTTACCGTGTATTACAGAGCTGTTTTATGAGTGTTCTTACTACATGAGTAATTATGTGCACAAGTAATACCACTTCTTCCGTGCAGTTCTGGGCTTGGAAAACCTAAAGAGCTTAAGGGGCATAGGTCTTTCTAACTCAAAATAATCATTGTAAGATGTTTAGTGCTTAATATTTGATTTTTGATAAGTTAAAAATGAGGACTCACGAGGCTGCAGAGATGATTCATGCTTTTATTCAAGCCAGTATGGAAAGAGTTGTGGTCCATACTCAGTCATGCGATTGTGCTCAGGTAATATGTATTGTAACCACCTCCTGTTCAGGTGAGGAAACCGAGGTTGAACTTGCATTAGGAATGTGGCTGCAGAAGCTATTAAGATACATTTGTTAAGGCTCTTAGTTCCAACTGGAATCCAGGGTTTCGAACCCAAAAAGAATTTCTTGAGGATAGCAGGGGGTAGCTTGTGGAAAGATCCAGAAGGCTCCAGCAGCAGGAATGTAAAGTTTCACCGCTGAGAACAATGCCCAGCCATACCAGGGGGGCTGCTTCTGCTGCCACCACAGCTTGAGCACCTACCACATTTAGGACCGGATGCCAGAAAGTCTGCCACTGCCAGTTGTGAAGACTAAGACGCCTTGTCAGACACAGACTTCTTGGTGGGCAGTGGTCTCTTCCCATTGCTCACTTCCAGTCTCATTTTTTTATGGCACATCTGACTGACCAGGGACAACATAAGTCACACACCTCAACCCTGTTACAAGGGAGTCTGGGATTGTGAGTGCTCTGGATTCTACTTTGGGAAGGTGCATATTGATTAGGTGGGAAATGTATCAGTATGTAGTGAGGGTTTTCAGATGTGTGGCCAGCTGCCAACTGACAGGTATCTCCTACAGAAAGGAAGACAGGAGAACTGCCTCACTGAACAGGAACATAAATGAATCATGATATGTTGTTCAGCAATATTAGGCCTTTAAAACAGAAGAGAGTACAAACAACTTTTCTCCCAGCTGCAGGGGAGAAGATTTGCAAAGGAATAAGCACCCATCAGAAAATTCTTTTGTGATTTTGCTCCTGGTTTTGCCATAAATAGCTGTGTTGGCATAAATAACTCCCCTCTCTGGTGCCAATTTTCTCATCCATAAGATTAGTGAGAGGCTGGATAAACTATGTGTGTTCTGGCATTCAATGTCAGCCTCATCCCACAGTACCACATGTGTGTTACTCTGTGTGTTAGGGAGGCAAGCGTTTTTATTTTAATAATTATGTATATATTTTAATGTGCTGAAAAATAAACTAGCACTTCAGACTCATGATCCAAGGATAGTTGTGCTTAAGACAGGCTAAACTAAAAGTTAAAAAGTAAATTGATTTTTGGGCACCTGGGTGGCTCAGTCATTAAGCGTCTGCCTTCGGCTCAGGTCATGATCCCAGGACACTGGGATCGAGCCCCACATCAGGCTCCCTGGTCAGCGGGAAGCCTGCTTCTCCCTCTCCCTCTGCTGCTCCTCCTGCTTGTGCTCTCCCTCTCTCTGTGTGTGTCAAATAAATAAAATCTTAAAAAAAAAAAGTAAATAGATTTTTTTTTAATATTAAGTAAATACAATACATTTAGGGCCAATTACAAATATTATAGGCAATGCACAAGTAACCAATGTTTGGAAAACAAGATTCAGAGCAGTAAATCTCATATTTTAATATTCACATTGAATCAGTGGGGTTTTTATTAAAATGAAGATTCTGATTCAGGAATTCTGCAGTGAGACCGAGATTCTGCTTTTCTAACAAGCTCCTAGTTGCTGCTGCTCCCGCTGGTCTGGCAAGCACACTTTCAGTAGCAAGGATGCTGAAGTGTTCTGATGGAGGGTAGTTTAGACTACCTGTACCTTAGATTACTTCAACAGTGATTGGAGAAACTCGTTTAAATACAGATTCTCGGGTTCCAAGCCAAGAATTCTGATTCAAGAGGGTAGGGTAAGGCCCAGGATTTTATATAGTTAATACCTACCCCTAGATGTTTCAGATGCAGATGATCTGAGGACCACACCAGGAGAAAGGATGAACCTCAGGGACTGGGGCAGCCAAAGCACATCAGGAAGTAACAACGTCCCTCTTCGTTTCTAGGAAAAGGAGCCTCTTTCTACATGTACTGCAGGATAAGACTCTCTGAAAAATTTATTTCCTAACATGTAATTACTCATCTGTACTCTTCAGGAGCGCAGGATCACTCACCTTCACTGAGGGGGATGTACTACCTAACACTGGGGGCTGTGGTACCCAGGACTCATCCTCACTGGGGTGTGGCCCAAATAAGTCACCCTGTGTTCTTTTTGTCATAGGAGGAAATGAATGTCAGTGAAACCTAGATGAGCTGAGGTTTAGTTAAAAAAAATTAAAAGGAAAGAAAATACTAATGATAAAAAAGGAATTTTTTAAAAAGCTTTATTTATTTGAGAAAGAGAGAGAGCAGAGTGAAAGAGAGAGCACGAGCAGGGGAGAGGGGGAATGGGAGAGGGAGAAGCAGACTCGCCTCTGAGCAGGGAGCCCGAT